ACGAATTCTGCGATTGCTACCTTCTACGCTGTTTAGAATCAACGCTTTTCATTTACTAGAACACAAAAATGTTAAAATTTATGAAAGATCTAATTTCCTGATTTGTTTTCAGAAGCATCTTGACGAATTTCGTGAGCTAAAAACTTTGATTTCTCGACAGATGCGAGACGGTGCACATCCAGCAGTTAGCATGTTCTTCCTCTATCCGTGGCTTGCTGCCTTCCCATATTTCAGCACTGTAGCTAAAATGTGAGGAAATTTCCAGTTTTGATTCATAACTTTGACAAAAAACATTGTATTTCGTACAGGATGCTGAGCTACCGCGATGCTTTCTTCTCATTTTTCGATAGGCAAATTGCTGAACATAAGAAAGTTATAAATTATGACACTGACGAGACCAACGACTATGTAGAAGCGTTTCTGAAAGAACAACGAAGAAGGGAGGCTGAAGGGGATAAAGAATCATTCAGGTACTCTTAAAGACTTTATGATACAGGTTCCGCAAAAATTTCCATCATAGTCAAGTTCAACTAACAAATGTTTGCTTGGATATGTGGTTTGCTGGTATGGAAACAACATCAAATACCCTTTCCTGGGGTGTGGTCTATCTTCTGAATCATCCGGAGGTTCAGGTATAAGCTTTTAGGCAAAATATACTAGATCAATAACTTCGGTGAGAAATCGAGGTTTCAGGATAAAATGCATGAAGAGCTTGATCGAGTGATTGGTTCAAGTCGAGCTATCACTATGGCTGACAAGAATAATCTACCTTATGTCAACGCAGTTATGAATGTAAGTTTTTGGTTCTAAACCTAACGAATTGGCAAATAGAAAATTCTTATGAGGCAGTCCCCTACAACAGTTGTACGAGAAGAGTCACTCCATCATAGCTTCTTTAGGGATTTTTTATCTGTTAATTTTGATTTTTTTTTCGTTGCAACAAAACTAAAGATATTATGTTATGAAAAAGCAGGAGTCGCTGCAAATTCTTCTACTCATAACTACAATCAAGGAGCAGATATAATTGTTAGAAATAGTTTCCTGAACCAAGT